ATGTACATATAACTACAAATAATTATGTATGAGCACTTCTTGACTCATGCAATAAGCGGCATTTGGCTTAACATCCAAGTTATTGCTACTCATTTCCTTTTAACCCACTTAAATTGCATAGAGACATGTACATGGTATATGTAAGTCTCTATGTGCGAATTTGAATGCATGCATGTGTGTATATTATGGTGGTACTTAAAATTTTAACATATCAATTTCGAATGGGACACCCCTTTGTTTTGTTCTACGTGCGAAATAAAGCCATCCGCCAAAATTTTTTTTTAACTACGTATAAACAAATTTTTTAAAAGTAAACAAATTTGAAAAGTTTCATATTCAAATTTCAAATTGGAAAAAAAAATTTACAAATTCTTGACTTGAAATCTGATCAATTTTGCATATTTTGAAACTTATTCATATAAAGTCATAAAATCACGTCTATATCAAAATTGGTTCGAATTTTTACGATTTAAGAAAGATACAATTTTTTAAACTCTGATAGAGACCCCTAATATTTTTTATTTGGCTTTATTTTGTATGTAGAATAAAAGGGTGTCACATAATGTTGATATTTTTAAGGACCACCATAGTGCATATACATGTAGATACATTAGGCACATGATAAAAAATACGAAAATAACGCTTTGTCAAAATTTCAACCGAATCAAAAAAAAATTTATAATTCAATTTTGGATCGCATGATTATTCGGTTGACATTGAACTTTCCATGTGTATGCATTTTTTGTTTGTAATTTTGAAATTTTTGCATCTAGACATTAGGCGCATGCTGAAAAACCTACGAAGGTAACGTGTTATCACAATTTCAACTGAATAAAAAAAAATTGAATCTTAGAAAGATTTCATGGAATTTTTCATTTATAGTTCATATGTACATACGTATATTTTCCCCACTACAAATTTTTTTCTTTTCTTTCTCGAAGTTCCCTGTGGGGACTCTTTGTACCAAATTTTGTTTGTTTTTCATCATTCTCATCCTCGTCTCCTAGGAATGTTTAATTTAAAAAACTCCATATGCCTAATGAACACATAAATATGTACATTTCTATGTAATTTATTTAACAATTAATTTCATATATTATCTTTATATGTTTTGCCGCCAAGAGAAGTCAATAAAATAGTAATGATTTCGCAAACGCTTTCAATTACTGTTATAGTAGGGATGTTCTTATTTACAATATTCCATCTAATAATTTGGAACATTTTCTTTTTTGCTCTAGCTCCTTTGAAGACTGGTACTCAAATCTAGATTTCATGCTTCGGAAACAAGAAAGATTAATATACTGTCTGTCAAATCTGAAGAGCCCAGTGCCTTCACCATTTCGATGCTGTAGTTTTTGGTTAAAAGAAGGTCGGCGCAGGCATGAATTTTATAGATAGTGTTGTATCGTAGCATCAGCACGTTCTAGGCAGACTTATGCCTTCATAACAACTTTTATAGGGAAATCGGACTAAATATTCAATACGCAGAGCAGAAAGAGGTGCGGTCCATGCGAAATATGATACATATTTCTCTCGGCGGAGGTAAAATACTTATCTTATCTTCTTTCTTGACAGAAATTTATACTAAAATCGTAACCTTGCAAACAGTTCTAGGCAAAGTGTAACTGCGCTTTAAAGTGTACACAGCGGTAGTTAAGTTTATGTTTGTCTAAGCGGTCGCAGTCTTATGGCCAACTTTGGATAATTCCAGATTTACTTAAGAGCATTCTCGCCTAACTGCTCGCATATAGCTTTCTCTAAATTATGGGAAAACCTAGTACATAGTACATATGTATGTATATAAGGTAAACTTCAGAGTAACAGCAACATAACTGGATTGGCAGCTTACCCTTGGGGAGACCTTAGCTTAGGCTCTTCGAAAATTCTGGCCACTTTTGCAGTGGCTTTTCGTGACTTTGGTTTTGCTAGTCCATAAGGTCTGCTATAAAAGTGATTTTTCCACATGCACAGTCACGGTCAAAACATATCCCGCGGGCGAAGCTCTTAAGCTCTCTCTAATGGTCGTCACTGCACCAGTATCGACGTGGAGAGAGAATGTGAAAACAGATTAGGGAAAATTTCGAGATCTCGGAGTTGAAGAAAATATCCCAATTGAAATAAAAAAGGAAAACTCAACGCGTTTTAGTACGCCCCTAAGAGACGCAAGCTGCTTTAGATTTCAGCTTCAATAGCATGTGCCGACAAAAGACCGATATCGACAGTGATATACTTACAATATGTAAGTCAGCAATTAAAATAATACATTATCTAAAAAAACAAAACACCTTAAACTGAGTCTAGCCTGGCATATGCGAATTGTTGTTAGTTTTCGCTTTTAGGTTAGGAAATTAAAGAAGGCTTAGAGCTCAACAAACAAATTTTAAAACGCCTAAAGGAGCCTTGTATAAAATTTAAGTCTGTTCAAGTGACATTTTAACCCTTGCAACTGTACTGTTTCCTCCTCAAATACTCGTTACGGATTTTCCTCGCATCAGCTATAAAAACCGCTAAATTTTTTCTCATCATACATACGCGCGTCGCTACTGTGATGAAATGTGTCATGAACGGAACTATCTACCTGGTAGCAGCTGACAGCTGTGCTGTGATGGAAGTGCTGCAAACGGCCTAAAATGAGGATTGTGTATGTAGATAAGAAATCCGCAGCCAAGCAATACAGTATCGCTCTCTTTAAGATTCTTAAATTTGTGCACGCACTTTCTCTCTATTACTTCCCAAAGCAGAACTCGCACAAGCCGCTTTGGTGATAATGCAGAGAGTTGTGAGTTTAGCAGAGCGCTATCTCCTAATGAACTCAGCGCCTTGCTATGCGAACATTTGAATTATAAAATCGCTGCCTTTTAATGTGGCATGCCACAGTTATAATTTCGAGTTCGTCGTGTGAGCAGCAAGAAATTATAATAACGGTGTGACGTCGAAAGACGGTTCGTTAATTTTGATCGATCACGTTTCGCATTGCGCGTACACATAAGCGCGGGTGACAAAGAAAACAAAAAAGTGCAGTTTCGCGGCTGTTCTTGAACACTTAAATAATAAATTTTAATAGTTACAAGTTCAAAACAGTTCACATTCCCGACGCTTCATTCAAATTACGCATTTGTGCCGTGCCTTCGTGTGTGTCGATGAGAAACTTTCGTTTTCGACAATTCGTTTTAGCTGGAAAAAATCGGTATAGCATAAATCATGAATTGGTTCAAAAAGTTGTCTGCCGAAAGTCTCGCGAACCCGCATAGTAGAAAGCAATATGAACAGCGACATAAGCGTATCAAGAAGACGGCAGAAAGAGAATCCGGTAATTTCTGGGGCTCGCTGGATGGTAAAGAGATCGAAATTGTGGATCCGGAGGTATTCTTTCAAGATCCCGATCACGTGCGCAACTATAAGGAGGAAGCACAGTTCCTGCAGCTGATGTCCGATTGGGAAATCATACCGAATCCTGCGAATATGGAAAACTACTTTTCAGCCGATTTTGAAGATGAATTAGTGTTGCATAAGACACAAAACAATGCGGTTGATGAGCAAACTGTGATACCAGGGCCCATTGAGCCCAACAAGATTATGGGCAATGAGAATAAGGACCCCTCTGAAACTACAACGAAGAAAAAATTAAAACGTCGCTTCTGTGATATTTTTTTCAACGAAAAAATCCAAATGGGTTTGCTACTGCCAGAGGATGAGGAGCGCGCAGCGGATGCACCTCAACACATCAAATGTAAGCGAAGAGCAATGGAGGGTGCTAGCTCCGAAATGAACTCGCAAAGCACAATCGCTTCAAGTATATCTTCACTGCAATTGGCGCTCACACGCTCACTCGACGACACTTCGACGACGAAGGCCATGGTAAGCGCCAGCAACAATCAAGTAATCAAAGACTGTGCTGTTAATCGCAACCAACTCAAGACTGAAGCCTTGGCAAGCTCCATTATGGGCGCCATAGGTAAGTGTCCCGATCGGGATAGTTCACTACGTTCCTCTGATTGTGATCTCATTGCACGCACGGATGATCGTTGTCAAAACTCAAGCTGGAGCAGATGTGATCATTACGATATTAAGCAGTTTTTTCGTCTCGACGATTATGGAAACATTTTGCTGAATACAAATCATATAGCGGAATTGAAGGGATTCGGTTCTACGATGGCGCAAAATAGGCGCCTATATCGACGCTATCGGAAAATGTGTCAAGCGGTCGATGAACGCTACGTTGTAAGGGCGAAGCGTCGCGGATGTTTGGAAACGCTTAAACGCGTATTGCTGTGGTTGTGGCATTTAATTTGTGGTAAGTTGAAAGGAGAGAAGAACCAATGTGTGTAGGAATACTTTTGAGAAAGAAACTTTGCGGTTTCGGTAGCTAAGCTGCGATAAACAAAGTAAAAGTGTGCGTATAGGAAAGATAAATGTAAATAACACGAGCGCAAATACTATAGCTAGCGTAGATTGGTAGAAATAAATCAGTCGTAAATTGGGATAAATTGTACGACTCGACAACATTGGCATTGTCTAATGTCGTGCTGGAATAAGTAAACGACGAAAATCTTCGAAAACTATACAGTACTGCCAAGTTTTTCCGTTTTAATACACTAGTCGAGTGGAAATTTTAGACAATTATGTGAAATTTTCAATACGATTCGACTCTTAAAAAACGACTTGCATTCGACACGACTCAATGAGGGTGAATATATCTGTTACGATATCGATAGATATGTATACGGCAAAATGTTTTAATTATATTAAAATGATTCAATGCTCAATTCCTCTTAAATTTACAAAGTAAAGCTATTGTTTCTTTAATTCTGTTTTTTTTTCATTTTTAGTATTAAAAAACACATGTGCGACGAGCTATAAATATGGTTTAAGTACAAAACAATGCTTGATAATTGCCCTTGAAAAGCTCTCTTGCCCTGCAAAAATCCTGAGTTCTATTTTCCACACAGCCAATCAACCAACTTTCAACTCTTTCCTCCTTTTCTCTCTCTCATCCACAGGCCATCCTCGCAACAAGCTGAATGCGCACACTGGCGGACCAGGTGACCTAGTGCGCGCCTGCACACTCCAACTCGCTCAAGATCAGAGCTCAACATTTGCGCGCAACGTAGAGAATTTCATCTCCTGCACGAAGGAGTCACGCGAGGCAGCGCCACAGGTTGTTATGCGCAACATGCGTCAATTCATGAACGGCATGAAAAACTATCTGGTGAAGCATGGTGAGGGTAAATTCCATCAGGAAGTGGAAGCGGCGCGTTCACGCCTCAAAGCGGACGAATTCCTCAATTTGGACGCCATACTCGAGACTGTGATGCATCAACTGGTTGTGTTGCCGCTGCGCGAACATCTCTACAGCATGTTCGTGGACTACTATAAGCGCTCAGAAGACATACAACTGCTGGCGCAGAATGTAAAATATGCCTGCGGACGCAGCGCGACTGATTTTGGCATACGCGCCACAGTGACGCCGCCATCATCAACTTCGTTGCAAATCATTTCAGCGCTGTTGCAGCGCTTGCAGGAGGCCGAACTGCCGCTGGACAAATTAGAGCTCTTCCTCTGCGTCATCTCGACTATTTTTGAAGCAACTGGCTGTCAGCGCGGCCAACAGCTAGGCGCCGATGACTTTCTGCCCGTATTGGTGTATGTGGTGGCCAAATGTGGGTTTGTAGGCGCTGAAATAGAGGCTGAATTCATGTGGGGACTACTGCAGCCGACATTGCTGAGCGGTGAGGCGGGCTACTACTTGACAGCGCTCTGCAGTGCAGTGCACGTACTCAAGAGCTTCATGGCTTCGGAGAACGAAAATGGAACAGGCTCGCTCGATGTAAGTATTGGCGTTATGAGGAGTTGGAAGGGAGAGAGCGGAGGTTTCTGATATCTTAAAAATCGTAACATTATTTTTTCTTTTTCTTGTAGTGGCGCTCCTCTTCGTTGCCCGCCTGCTCTTCGGTGCTCCGCGTCATCATACCCGACGAGTGCAATGGCTCGCTGCAGACGCGTACATTGCCCGTGCGACCACACACCACGACACGCGAAGTGTGCCGCATTATTGCGCATAAGGCGCGCATCACAAACCCGCAAGACTATGCGCTCTTCAAGCTCGTCGATGGCGAAGAAACGCTGCTGAATGATGTTGAATGTCCGCAGGACGTGCGTTTCTCTTCCAAAGGCAAGCATTGTATGTTGGCGTACAAGCGTATAGACGCTAAGATTGCATGGCCAACAGCGACATACTAGGCGCGGAAGGCAGAAGGCATTTGACGAGTGTAAAAAAAAACGAAAATTCAATTAGCGCGAAATAAAGCTCAGTGGCTGCAGGCATAGCGTATTTTTTAAAGTAAAAATAATTTAAGACCCTCGGCTTCATAGAGACGAAGCAAAAACAACCAATCTGATATTTAGTTAAGCAGAAGATTAATTTTAATTATATAGTTTTAATTAAAATCGAATCATAATGCACCATTGCTCACTAACCATTCTCATAAAGGTGAGCGTAAGCATAGATATCATAAAAACGTATGTAATATTTACGATTATACTAAACAGTATTGCGATAGTTTAAAATTTAAGCGAAACAAACAAACTTACATACATACATAGTAATATTTTAAAGTCTTCTAAGTATACAATTTATATGAAAATTGTATGTTTGTGTTAAGTGAGACTAACGAACTCTTACTGCCGGTTTCACCAGCAATTTAAGTGGAAAATGATTTTTAATTTTCTGCCAATTTCCATATAAAAATCAAAAAATTAAAATCATTTTTACCTTAAATTGTTTTCGTGAAATTTGCTGTTAATGTAGAAATTCGAATTAATTTTGTACAATTGACGAACACTACCAATTGCGTTTACAAATCAAAACAAAAAAACTTAAAAAAGAAAAACCGAAATAAATAAAATAATGATGAAAAAACTTTAAAATTCGTTTATAGAAATTAATATTTAAACGCGATATGAATAAAGAATTATCTACAGTTTTCCTTTCGTTTTGAAATTCAGGTAAACAACAAAAGCATAGAAAAAAGTAAAAAAAAAAATCAGTTTCAGAAGACAAATCAAAATTTCTTAAAGGCAGTGTGAACATAGCATTATATATAATCTTATCAAATGCAGAAAATCGGCATAAAAAGCATGTAAAGAACTAAAAAATATAAACATATTTAAAAAGAAATTTTAAATTCTTGCAGGAAGTATGAAATTAGCATTTTATTTGCAATTATCAAACGCCAGAAAATGGTAAAGTAAGTAAAAATTAAAAGTAAATACCTACAATAAAACTCAAAAAAAGAATACAAACTAAATACTAAATAAAAAAAATAATTTACGTATAACTTCTTGTAAAACCAGAAAATAAACCAAAAATTTCAAAAAACATTGCCGCTATATAATCTTATGCGGAAAAAGTAATAATCTAATATTTAAGAAGTTTTACCGATATCGCTTCTTTGTAAATGAAAGAGAAAACAGTTCTGTTTAAAGTTAAAAGCTTTTTATTGCTAATTAAATTTAACATACAATTTATGTAAATAATCATAAGATTTGTATAAAGAAAACTACGAAAAAATATACTTACAATACTTTATCGAACTAAATTAAATACATTTCTTTTCATTTTTAGTTTTTATGGTTTGAAATGTATATTTTATTTTTTATTGCAAAATTTCGGGATTTCGGTATACATACATATATTATACTAATTAAGAAGTTTTGTCGTATTCTTAGGACCACTAATTAACTTTATACCAGCATTTTGTTACGTTGTTTTAATTGGAGAAACCTAATGCCGCGGTTATACTAACCCGTTTTTGTAGAGTTAAACGTTTTTGCACGGCGAAAGAATGTTTTCGCAGCGACTAAAAGAAATTTACTAAATTTATTTAAGGCAAATGCAGTTTTTTATTTACATCTTTAATTTTTATTAATAGGTTTTTCTTCTTTGTGATATTCTTATTTAATTTATGCGAGCTTGGTTTAAACTTGACCAAAGAAGATTCAAATTTCGTTTCGCATGTAGAACTTTGTCGGAGGAATGAACCATAATGGAACTTTTTTGCTTTCTACATACAGTGAGAGTCTAGTCTGAGCGATAAGACAAATTTCTCTTATTTTTTATAAATATATATTTCATTCAACAACAAAAACAACAAGAATCAATTCTTTTAATTTCGAACTCTGGAAAATGCCAGAATTTTTCAGTTCGATAGCAGTTTTGTAGCCCATTAAATTTTAGTATAATAACAGGTCTATTCTGCGCTGGTAATAAAAATTTTACAACGGGTAAATGAAGCACCTGTCAATTTTTAAACCCTTTTCGCATTCTGTGTACTCTTGCAACCGATAAATTTTGTTACCATGCCATAAGCTGGTAACAAAATTTTGCCCCGTGAAATATGCAATGCCAGAATTTCCACAATTCTTCATAGCTGAATTGCTGAATATTTTAACTGCATTGCCGACGTACCTAGAATCGCGGTGACAAGAACTGGTAACATTTCTTGGTAATAAAATTTTCCGATCACAAAATTGTCGGTAACGTCTATAAAAGTTTTTAAAAACGTATTGCGCATTTTCTTCCACATAATGGATGCACACAATCTTTTTTTTATGAAAGTACGCACCCAACATTACTTCCAGTGCGCGCTACCATTCCACAGGGCCTGGGTTCGAGCGCAGTTTCCGACCAACATCAAAAAATAAAAAAAAAAGTTGTTTTCTAATAGCGGTTGCCTTTCGCCAGGCAATGACAAACCTCCGAGTGTATTCGGCCATGAAAAACCGCTTCTCATAAAAACTCAATCGCCGTTCGGAGTCAGCGTTAAACCGAAGGTTCCTCCCGTTTGTGCGACAAAATCAAGGCGCACGCTACAAATCGGATGAGAAGGTCGGCCAAACACTACCATATTGTGTAAGAGCCAATTTATTATTTTTATTATTTTATTTTGAATATGTGTGTTCTTTTATTTCTACTTTTTACTTATGAATATACATACATACATATGTACACAAAATTTTTTGAAATCTTACTGAATTTTAAGCAAATTTTTTTAACCGCCTATTATTTTTAAAGAGTAAAGTTAAAGCTCCACAGGAGCCTTTTCAGGCGTTGCTGCTTTTGAAGTCGTTCTGGCTTTTCAGGTTTGTAACTCTACAATGTCAAATGTCAAAACTTTTGACAATCCAAACGAAGCTATTCAGACGCATACATACATACATATTCCCAGTTGAAGATTTTGCCATAAGATAAACAAAAAAGTCTTTAAAAAAGGAAGAAAGTCACGCAGAACAAATGGATTCGATTCAAGTTCAGATTTCACTCTATCAAATCCAGATAGACCCTGTATGTTGAAAATGTGTTCAGTTATTTATCATTTTACCCATTACGTCAGTGAAAATGTAAATTTTCAGAACAACAGACCAGCTGACCAGCTTTTTATGCGGCATCTCGAGGTTGGAACTAGGACTTTATTCGCTGCGAAATTAAATGAAAATTATTCGGCAGCCAAGCATTAGATCATTAGGTGAATTTTTTTTGTGAACGAGCGACAAAGCAAGAAATATGCGATTCGTTTAATGGGATTTAGATACAAATACCAATAGAAATAAGTCATTACGCGAGGTTTTTGCATAATATACATATATACTTATTTAAAATTTAAATCATGCATATAAGGAAACAAAAATATCCCTAACCGCTTTCGCATTAACAGTTCAATTCATAGAGCAGTTTTTCACTTAGCAACACTGCCCTTCAGGTCACGCATTTTTTTTATCGAGCTGGGTAAACTCGGATAAATAGCTGAGTTTGTGTTGTTGCTTTGCATATATTTCGTTATTTTAGCGAGTGTTCTTTTGTTGGTCGGTTGCAAAAGAATGCGCCTAATGAAACTGTTATATAAATATACGATTTTCAATAAAGTGTTAAACATGACAAACAAGTTCGGTATAAGAAAAAACCATAGTACACTTCACTTATGGGTTATTCAGAAGGTGTCATACCCAGTCATATTGTCGTAATGATACCTTGTGAACCCACCATTAGAATTCTTAGCCAAGAACCGTATAACTTTGCTCATTAAATGTATATAACTAAATAAGTGGAAACGAGAATTATTAATTACAAATATATGTATGAAGTATGCATATGTATATACATACACTCACAAATGAATACTAAGATAAAGAAGTTCAATCATCATCATGTATCTAATAAATTTACGATAACTATACTTTGGTATAAGCCGTATTATTTTAAAAAGAATTGTACACACCAAGCTCAATAATTCTAATATCCCTATAAACTTAATTTATTTCGTAAATTATTAATCTAGCATAAGACTATGTAAACCCATACATTTACGGAAAACAGTTTTATCAATTACACATGTATTATCCAAGTCTAAATATAAGCAAATAAGTACTCAATAATGATGCATCAAATGAAATCATTCGAATAAAACGGAGCAAGTGTATTTAACAAACAAATAATTTCTGGTTCCATTCAATAATTCAGGGAATTTATGGTCTA